TAGAGGAGCTGGATAGTATGAGAGTTTTAGTTATAGGATGAATGAATGAATGAATACTTATTGGTGCTTGTTCCTTCTTGTTCATAAGTCCTATCTGTTCATTTATTCATTCGTTTTATTTTCACAGTCACAATCCCTTCATTTTATCTATTCAATATTTCCATCTTGTCTTATTCTTTATATATTTTTGCTCTATCAGTCTAATTTCCGGCTAATTTAAATAAGCCACTCATAAATTTTTAGTAACATTTTCTTCGCTAATAAACTAAGGCGCTAGGAATGATGGAACATTGAACTTTAATCGTTTACCGCACCCTAATCTTTCACAATATGGCTCTTATTTTTCCAGAGGTCAAGTTATTGCGTATTTTTTTTAACAGCATAACCAAAATATAAGATATAATGTCCATATGGGAAACTTGAAACTATCGATCATCAGCTTCGAGATAGGCTTGTCATTTTACAGGTTAAATAGGCTTATTTATCTCGGTCGTGTTTTATCCTTTGTCTACTCATCATTTTTTTTGTCATCCTTGCATTGTAGATTAGTGTGTATCTCTGGGGTAGAATGTTGGAATTTTTGGAGAATCTGAATGGACAAGGTAAGACTGGTTTATGACTGTTTCATCGCTTTGCAACTTATTCTTTTATAATTTTTTGTAATTAGCCATTGGAATGTTAATTAACTACTTGTAACTACTTGTATTGAATATTTCGAGATTATGGAGAATAGATGTATTATTCGTATTGTCTCGAAAGAATTTCATCCATGATTTTTTTATGAAAACTTCGAAATACATTCTCTTCTCCCCTTTTTCATGGCATTAATTAGAAATACTCTCACTATTAAATACAGTAAGATAAAAATCAAGAAAATCCCTAACACTGAATCAACTGAGTCCACTGAAATTAACAGAAGTTGACATATAATTTAAAGAATTTCGCAGCCCAGTTGACGTGTTCCGGTACGAAATGGTGCCACTGTGATAAAATAAATACACATACACACATGCATACACCTACACATACATATGTATATATATGCACATACACACACGTACAGACGACACACATATATGTATGGTGTTCATAGTAGTAGCGAAAGAAGATGAGAAATTATGTCTTTCGCGTGAAATTATTAACAGGCAGAGTCCATTTCAATTTTAATAAAATAAATTGTGCGGGTGGTTATAATTTATTGCTTAGAAATATCCGACATTAGTAGGGTTGAGATGGAGATGAAGATGATCGAGATGGATTTGTTTATTTTTCAGAAGGGAAAGAATAGCATTTTACACTGTCGTCTTTTATTACATCTCCTTTTAACAAGAAGTGCTTAATGTTTCAAAATAAAATTTTATTTTCAGGGACTATTTCCTTCATTCTTTCAGCCTTGACCTTGCACTGGCCATTAAAACCTTTTCCTTCAATAATGTTGTCTATCTCCTTTTATGCTTTCAGCATTTAATTGTTGATTGAACGAGGAAGGTCCGATTTCAGAAATAATTCTTAGAACTGGTTTTGAATAAGATATGTCAATAAGCTAATTCCACTATTTTGTTTCATGAAACGCTCTTTGCGTAACATATTGCTCTTAAACTAAAAATTGATCTTTTAAACTTTTGTTATGAATTGAATGTCTAACTCAAGGTTAGAGTTTTTTGACCGTTTGATGTTTTCCATTTAGCAACAATGACTTTTTGAAATTTTTTCCTTTTACACTTCGTTAATTGGCTGTTGTAATTTTATGGGAATAATTTCCTCATTGATAAGTTAACATTAAACAAAATATCATATCAATATTTAAATAAATACAAACATATTGATATTACCTTCTGATATCCCTTCTGGATAATTTACCCCGGCATATTTTCTTTCTTTCACACTGAATTCTCGAATAGAGTTAACTTTTTAACCTGCTCTTTTCCCCCTTTTGTGCCCTCACTTCGCTTTTTTTCGCTAATTAATTTTTAAATCCAAATAGCACGGTAAAAGTCTTAATCATCCTTATATTCTTGCTCAGATTTCATCTCACTTGCAGATTACTCGGAGTTGAAACCAGTTGCTTATTTAAACCATTCCTCGATTTCTTCTGTTCTAGTTTTATCACTTTTTTTGCTGAGGATGAGATTGAGACAAACCTATTTTACTTAGTTTATCTTGGGGGTACTTTTGTTTTAGAAATATATATATATAATTAAGATGATATCAGTTTTGAGGATCAATTGGTTGTTATTGACTCATCAAACAAATTAACTTTTTTTTACAGCAATTTTTATTGCCAATCAGAACAAATGAAATGATTAGCAGAATACTTAACAATCATTAAAATAAGCCTTTGCTTTGAAGATGAAGTGTAAGGATTACTACATCCCTTTCCGTATATTTATTTACGAATTTCAACAAATAACTCTCTTTGGAGAATCTGTTCATCAAGAAATTAATCAAAAAAAAAATACGCATATAATTATGTAATCACTTGAGAAGTTCTGCACACTTTTATATATATTGTGCATCTACATGTTCTTAAAGATATCAGATGGTAATGTTGCATTGTTTTGCATCTATATCCAAAAGTACCTTAATTGCCTGCCTGCGAATACACAAACAAATAATATCATTCTTATCATTCCTTGTGGAACTGTGGACAGCCTATCCCTTAACCATTTGTTGACCATTTGGTCACTTTCCATTTGTTGACCATTTGATCACTTTCAACTACTCTCTTAAATTATTATATTTTCCCGCAATAACTAATTATTGATATATGATAATTTCAAAAGAAAGATTTAAAAAAAAGAGAAGCCCGGGAGAAAGAAGAAAGATCGAAAACGATTATTAATTGGCTTCTTGAAATACTTCTCATTTATCGTATATGAAACACTTCAGATAAGTTCTGCTTACAGATGTCTCATGCAACGGAAACGAATTAATGAAATTTCAATTTTACGACGAAGAATTGGAAGCATTCGCGAAATAAGAACGACTGTATTTTGATTACGATCTGAGATTAGCCATATTAATTCGTGTTTGCACGATCTTATTTCTTTACTCAGCGAACTCTGTTTTGTGGAGTTCCGGTATTATTTTTTTATTTTAAAATCACTTTGCTATTATAAAGTGATTAATTGATCCTTCGTGTATGATGTACTGAAGAAGTGAAAGGATCAAAAGAGAATATAATATTCGTATTTACCTCTATACCCTCCCAGAACTCTCGAATTATTATAATATATACTGGGTGATGAAAGAAGTGCATCACGAAATTGGTCATCAGGGTCATCTACATTACTTTTATCCGTATCGTGATTTGTTTAACTGATATTTCATTCCCTTTACTTCAACCAATACCCGTATCCGTACCCGCAACAATTCTGTAACTGCTAATGCCGTCCTTCACACACTGTCACTCTTGACCTAGAACTCCCCCGTCCTTTCTTTCTTACATATCTTACCATTTCTTAGCATCACCCAGCAATCACTGCACATCGACAGTTTGTTCTAAAATTTAATTCCCATTACCAACTGCTCTGACTATTACTATCATCATTGCGATCATCATTCCATTCTACCAGTACTTCTATCATTGATACTATCATATTATACTGTTCTTCATCCTTCCGTTCCCTTTATCATTTTAAATTCAAATTTCAGCAGTTTAAGAGCTTTGGATATAAATTTCATCAGCTCAACTAAATTTTATTATAATTGTCTACGATACATATTTAATTGTCCAAAATGTCAGTATTACCGCCAGAATTGGATTTGTGTGAAGATGCACGATCCAGGTTTACGCATACCAAGGCACTATTCGAACAGTTGGAGCGAGGTGAACAATCACCTTACTACTTTTCGTCCCGGACATTTCGGCCACCTCCTCCACCCTTACCACCAAAACCAAACGTGCAATGTCCAACGTCGCCGTTATCACAGGTCGGTACTCTTTGTTCATCACAAAAAGTCTATTTATAAACGCAGTCAGCAGCAATTTATGGTTGATTACACTAGGTTATGCTTTTCTATGCATTTAAAAATGTTGAAAATGGGTTAAATTAAAAAGTCATTATTGAATCTTATTTTAACATCATCAACACTTTGCACTGTTAAACACATTTGCAATACACGTTTCATCATACGCTAAGGATAATCTCACGTAACGTATGACATCATAAGTTATGTCGATCGTAACAAAGAGACAAAAAAATTTGAGGGAGGACTTCAATTGAAGAAATGAAAATCAATTCTTTTCTGTTTTTTTTCCGATTTTACCTGTACCGAAATGTGTTATTGAATTATTCCCATCATTCAGGATCATTTCTCTTCCGTCCTGAATATATATCTTCCTGTTTTTTTTTCGGGGTGAGGGGAGGAAAAAAAGAGATTTCTATTTCCTTGTTATTTGGCCTTAAATTTCTTCCCTTAGAAAATAAACGAAATATCGAAATGGTTTGGTCAATCCACAAAACTATGCATAGATATAGTTGACCTATTTCGCCTTGACAAATATCTCAATTAATCGCTTTCTCATTAGTGCTGCTCAATTGGCTTATGTTTTCTGCTAATAAATACCATTCTAATATATATTTACCAACATGTTTGTGGAAAATGCTTTTGGTTAACATGCACAAAAGACTAACATGCGCTAACATTGATCCGAAGATATGATTCCTATAATATTGTTTTCATGTGCTGTAATAAATTGAACGAGAAAAATTTTGTAAAGTATAAAATGCGGAGAAAAAATCTGAAAAAGTGGTAAATCTGCCAATCTGCACTCTTCCATGTTAATTAAATTCTTCTATCAAATTCTGGTTAATTTTGTTTCAAATATATGAATGTAATTTGTCGTTTTAAATCTATTTAAGAACAAGTGCTTTATATCTAAGTTTGTTGTTGTAGAGATTGATTGATAGTGGCAAGTTTTTGATGAGCTTCCCAATTCTTTCACATCTAATAGGTAACTAACATCAGGGACTATTGGTTGGTCCCAATAGAAATATGCAATCGAAACAGCCACTCTCTCTTTCCTACTTTTCATTCATATAAAAATTACATTCTCCATAGCAGCACATCGTCCTCTCTTCTCCGCCACTAATGCTGCTACATTTTAGCATTGGCCATCACCTGACCCATTAATACTTTCATTACTGCTTTCAGCTTTAGTTATGATGTTATATGTAATGTGTGACCTGATACCGATCTCATGTATTTCTCTCCCATTATTTCAATTTTTTTTCACTGATAGTGATGCTATTCTTTGAAAAATAAAAATGATCATCATACATCCCAAAACTTATAATTGTTATTTTTTCTAAATTAATGATAATCATCACTCCCATTAATCTCATTTTATTTAGAGCTAAAATTTCAGGTAACGCGTAACTTTTCCGAATTAGTATCTGATTTGGATCGATTATCTTCAACACGTTCTACTCTCGCTACACAAATTAACGGGGTCGACTCTTTGAGGTAATTAGACTATTCATCTCTGCTTTCCTTATTAACTTATCTTTTTTTGTTTCTAAAAATTAGTCTCCTGTTACTCTCATTTATAATTTGCTCACTTTAAATACTTCTTTACAGTTCCCCAATGTCTGCATTGGATTCAGTCCCCACCAAAAAGATTAATTATGAACCATATTGGCGTGACCCTTCATTCTATAAACGACGATTTGGTGGCTTGGAGAGTTTATCCATGAATGGGGCATGTGATAGTGACATTGAAAATGCTGATACAATTAGTGGAATAGCGCAAGATGAAACTGATAAGGTGAAAAGATAACTGTTTAATTTTCTCCTTAATACTACTGGATAAGTAAAGTATATCAAATGAAAAGATTCGCTTTATTAATTATCCACTAACAAAACTCAATCTATTCATTTGTCAAAAAAAGATTTCGAGAACAGTTATTTATTTTCATTAAGCTTTGCCAATTGCTCAGAGCTTAAATTGACATAGAATTAGCTGATGCTTGCTTTACTAGTTGGAGTTGGCATATTAGATAAAAATGCTTCTGTAGATTTAGAACGATCTCTGCATAAAGAAATAACAATGTACAATTGTTTTTCGCTAAAGAATAACTTGATAATCTGTAATTCCTTAATTTCTATCGAAATTTGGTCCATCTATTTTTTCCATTGTAGTTTTCAATCGAAAAAAAATGGAATTTGCCAACTGATTCTCAGAATTTTTGTTCTTAAACTTAAATAATATGATGGAATGCATAAACCATATTTATCCGTATTACTTTAAATTGACTTTAAGCAAATACACTATGAATTTATGGGTGAACATTAGATGAATACTTTTTGATGTACATTGTTTGCAAATATTTTTTAGGAACCGCCAGTGAAGCACACTACATATGCTTTGGTGAAAAGTCGTAAACCGGGGAATGATGATGATAATCAGCTGCAAGAAGATATCGCTGAAATCGGGAATGCAACCAGCTTTAATGTGCTTTTGGAAGAATGTTCGTCTGGAGCGAGGAATGATTCAAATGGCGATTTACCGGACGTTGCGGAGGTGATACGAGGACTTTCACCTGAATTCGATGTTGTAGGACGAAAAGTCTCTTTCAGTACTGCTCCGATTAAGGTTGGCATTTTTATTTGAGAAGGACCAAATTTATTTTGAGTTCTGAAAGGAAAAGTCTGTTTCACATACGAAAAAGAAAAACTAAACAAGATAATCTCTGCCAATATTTCGCAGTTACAATAATGAAAAAGAATAAGCGATGAACTGTATTCAATATATTTATATATTCAGGCATTTATAATGACTTTCAGGTTTTCTCAACTCATAGTATCATGGACTATGACCGTCGGAACGACGAGATTGATCCGGTAGCTTCATGCGCTGAGTACGAACTCGAACGACGTCTTGATAAAATGCAAATATTCGATGTGCATCTGAAAAAAGGCGCTGAAGGACTAGGAGTATGATATATTGTCGATACATTGTTTTAGATTTAGAATTTGCCTCATGTTAAGTTTGCCCATATTTGCTGGGTTTTTTATGCAGGTGTCTATTATCGGCATGGGAGTGGGTGCTGATTCTGGTCTCGAAAAATTGGGAATATTCGTAAAGAGTATAACACCTGGTGGAGCAGTTCATCGTAATGGCCAAATTCGGGTTTGCGATCAGATTGTAAGTGTTGACGGAGTCAGTCTGGTAGGTGTAAGCCAGATCTTCGCTGCCGAAACTCTACGAGCTACCGGAAGTGAGGTTAGCATTTTTATAATTTACACTATTCTATGAATTGCAGCCTGTTTTGGTGGATACTTTTGGAATGAATATTGTTTCAGGTAGTTTTTACAATAGGTCGGGAGGAGAATTTGGAGGAGAGTGAAGTTGCACAGCTCATTAGGCAATCATTAGAGGCAGATCGATTCCGAGAAGCGGAAGAGTTGGAAGAGGATGAGGCCGATAGCGATGACAGCGAGGAACCGACAATGTTAAAGGAAGAACGAAAAATTAGGGTATCGATTTCTGCAACATGTATTCCATATTGATAATGTAATTCTAATAATATATTGCAAAACTGTCTTTATTATTTTCTGCTCAAAGACAAATTTAGACATTATGAGGTATTTGATACTGCAGAAACGCATAGATGATCTTGAAGTGGAGCTTAATGAATCGCAGAAAAAAGCCGATCAGATGAAGGAGATCCTGGAAAGTTCGAGGGCTCATTATGCCATGCTTGAAAGTAAATATGAGCAAGCAAATCAGCTTTTACGAAGTTACCAGGAAAGGTTGGTTGTGTTAGGCTTGTGAGTTTGATGTAAATGTGTGTAACTTTATCAGTTGTTACTAAGCGTATTGCACGCGCTAAAATTTGAAATGGGAAAAGTTGATTGTGAGATTGGTAGCAAAGAAGCGGTGTAAAAATAACAAACAGACGAGAAGTTTCTTGTGACATACATATATATATATATATATACATATGTATATATAGATTGTAGTGATTATGCTTCAGAAAAATTACATTTCAATGAACTTCAGAAATTTCATCCAAAATATGATAATTTTTGAGATGATTGGTGGTGTTATTTTCACACTTCATTTTAATTCACAGAGAAAAAGAACTGTTAGAACGCGAAGAAGCGCACGTGGATCAGCTGCGCCAGAAGGATGCCCATTATAGTGCCCTAGTAAGCCAGCTGAAGGAACGCATTGAAGAACTAGAAAGAAGACTGGATGAGATGGCACAGAGGTATATTCGCATCTTTCCCAAATAGTGTTTTTTTAAATTATTTTGGTGAGGCCAAACGTTAGTAATGTACAGGATTTATTAGCTAGGGCGGATTATAAAAAGTATGCATATGAATATGTGAGTAAATTTCAGACGTACAACTGTTATGGAAAGTGAACTATCGGAGCTGAAAGAGCAGTTAGCCGCTCGAGATGTCAGTCCCGCTTTGGCCTATAAACCTACATGCCCAATGGATCATGATTCTACAAAATCTTCCAAAATCCTTGCTATTAAGACGGCCAGTTTGGTAATATTTCATATTTAGATATTTCTTGTTTCAATACTTAGGGTAAGATGTTCCATTTTAATGGTAGTTGATTCGATCTTGCGCACTGTTTGTCTTATATTTCACATTGAAATATTTTAGCCGGGTAAGTCAGCATCAACATCAGCATACCGTCGTGTTGCTGGTACAGAGAGTGCCTGTGAAAGTGCTGCTGATGACGCATCTGATGAACAGAAATCATCGCTTGACAGCCCAATACCGCGTATCTCGGAACCAGCTAGTCCAGCTGTGCTTCACAAATTCGCTCACCGCAGAATATTATTCCCGTTAAGAAGACGTTATATCACAAGTAATTTAATATTTTTTGGCAAATAATAAGTTAAAATACGAATTAGGATATATTGTTGCCATAATGTTAAAAATAGGAAATATTATTCATCATGGAGGAAGCTTTCGGAAAGCGGTTGTAAAAATTCGATATTAATTTCAATCAAATTAGTTAAAAATGAATGAAGTGATGATAAATATCCAAAAAAATGTTATCCAATACCCTGTGTATGACATTAAATCAAAATTGTAGTTTCAGCAGAGCATGAATTCTGGCGCGATACGTTTCAGTCCATTCAGGTAATTTGCAATTGTGTTTATGTTATAATTATTAAATTCCGATTGATTTGTGAGTAAATCAAAGAACAGAATTCTTTTTTGCTATATCGCTTTCTCAAGTGATGCAATAGAAAGATGTCATACAATCACCTATTTAATAAAAACTTAGCAGTCTTGGAAAGGTGAAAGAAACGAATAAGTAAAAAAGTTAAATCCTTTACGACAACATTAATATTAGCACCGCATAAGCGCTTGACATACAAAATAACTTCGGGAAATTTCTATAATTGCTCTAAAGAAAAGAGTTGGTTGGTTTCTCAAGTGCATGCATGACTGGAAGATAGTAATAGCGAGTGAAGGAAGTGAAATGTAGGCGATATACAACTAAATTTGATAAATGTAAATGCCATTAAGGGGCTCCAGGTACTACACTGGACATGCGATGATGTATGTCAGCTGCTGATCCAAATGGGTTTGGACAAGTACATTCCTGAATTTACCGTTAATCAAATCAATGGTACCAAGTTTCTAGACTTGAATGGGAACAAATTGAAGGTAATGTCAGTCATGATTTTGTTGAGATAACTAAATTTTTTTTGGCTAAAAGAAAAAGAATATTTGCAATAAAAATATTATTCAGCTATTTCACCGGAAATATACCAAAATCTGAATTTCTTTTGTCTCCCTTTTGTTCTGCTTAAAGTAAGCTTTATACAAACATAGAGAAGTATTTACAACCATCATGCAAATCTTTTCTCACATAAATCACCATAATATACATGCTAATTTTAAATTATATGCTTCATTTTAACTTCGATCTGGAATATAATTAGAGTCATTAATAATACTAAATACTTTTATTCTATTTTGTATGATCTTGACAGATTAATTTCCTTTCCTTGCATTATCAGGAGATGTTTTGCTAGTAGAGTAAAGGAAAGAAGATGGAATTATTAACAATGTGAAGCTGTTGATTATTCACCATCTTTATAAGAATGATTTCCATTAAGATTCACTGTTTTATCATTTCCATTTTTTGTTTTTACGTTCTCGAAATTCCATTCTTATTTCCTGTCTTTTCATATTTTTCGTTTTTTATACATCTGACATCAAATTGTATTTTTAATGTTTTTTTCTTTTTTGCAAATATTTCAAGTAGTGTTCCTAAATCAATTATTTATCTATTCATTGAATTAAAACAATGACTTGCACAGCCGAGCCGTTAAATTTGTCTAAAATTGATTTTCGAGAAAATAAACTAAGAAAAAATGATAATTCTGCAACCTAGTAAGATGAAATCAATTTCACAAAAATGTGGAAATTACGCATGTATTGATGATTTGTTTGTAATATGGTACGGTTAATTTAAATCTCGACGAATGGCATTTTGTTCGTAACTTCTATTAATCATTCTAAAAAAAGTATCGCGCGCTTCATGTGTGGTCATTTAAAAAATTTTCTCTCCATTTCATTAACTCATCGTAAAGTGGGGAACGCTGAATATTGAAGGAGAAATGTGTACTCCAAGGCTATACATTTCTAAATTGAAATGTTTTTACTCATATAAAAAAATTTTTAAGAAAAATAACTTCCCTACTTGCTACTAAATAAAATTAGGAATTGCAATCACCAGTAAATTAGTTTTAGAAGTAAATTCAATCAGAAATTGTACAATTAGAAGTGTTTCTTGGACATTTTTTATTGTCCAAAATCTATTTGGAAAAGCCACAATTTTCTCTAAAACAAACATATTCTGCCATCGCTACCTTATACTGTGAAATTGTGAAATATGTGGATAGTCTGTTGGTACCATGATGGAATGAGCAAGTTAATTATGGTGCCATAACTTACTTGCATTCGATCATGATGTGTTCGAGTTTCGAGCTCCCCGAATAACTCAGTACTTTCAATTATTTCCATGAACTGACTTCGATGCGACTTAAAAATCTAATGTGCCTTCTAGATCAATTCTGTGGTTGGCATCATTCCGTTTGTCATAGGCAAGCGGAATAGTCAACTTCAGAATTTCCTTATACTCATTAGTCTTTATTTATTTCATTACAAAATGTTTACGAAATAGCTGGACATATTTTCTGATTCTGAAACAAAATTTTTCAAGATAAAGTAGATGATTTATATGAAGGAGTAAATAATCTTTATGTAATAAAGATTAATGAGTGTAGAGAAAATAGAAAATAATAAGAGTTGGCATTTTCCGATGAAATGCACTGATGTATAGTTTATTGCATGCACATTTTTTGTAATAAAGTAGACAAATTTTGTGAGATTCGGTTTTAATTGCTGTACCATTATTTTTCCCTGCAATATTTATTCCTGTTTTAGGCGATGGGTATTCAGAATCATTCCGATCGTGCTGTAATCAAGAAAAAGATCAAAGCTATCAAATCGAAAATTGAACGTGAGCGGAAGCAGCTAGAGAAGGAAAGTAGGTTAAGGACAGTTGCGCCAGTACATTGATTTATAAATGTAATATAACACATCTTTTAGAAATGAACATGAGGAATGAATTTTTCTTCTGTCTTCTTATGTTAATAAAATAGGCCTGAGAAAAGTATTGCCTCAGTATACAATGTATCTTTATTGATCTGTCTGTATTTTATTGGGAGCACTGGTGCATATTATATAGAAATTCATTTATTTGTATTAATTGTTTATCGTAACACCGAGTTGTGCTCTAAGCGATTTGTGGGAGGAAAGTTGGCTAAATGAGCCTAGGAAAGCTTTTCAATTTCACTATTTTTAAATTAATCGTCAGAAAAAAAGCAATATTTTTGATGTCTTTCTTCCTACATTTTTAATTTGGTTAGTGTTATGTGACTAAATCCTCCTTCGTTCATCTCCGTATATGCTTCATCTGTTCTTTAAGAAATTAAATTTAAGGATGTCGGAAGAGGTCCATCAGTAGTAAAGCTTCTTGATTGAGTGATTCGAATGTATTATGCCACATTTTAATTTATGAGACAAGGTAATCTGCATATTCAATTAAATTAAGTAGTTAAACAGAAAGAAGATATAACACATTTATGTATCAATTTCAATTCTACAGATAGATGAAAGAGAGATGGAGCGATCGAAATGAAGAAGTGTCACTGTCGTACATTCGTTGTTTCTATATTGGGCCTTATTCTTTGATCCTTTGTCTATTTGGATGGTACGTAAAGTGATATTGTCATATTTTTCTTTCTGTTTTGATTCGATTTTAACCATGCTTGATGAACAGTAATATAATTTCAACTGCTAGGCTTTGTTTTATCTTTTAGCATCCTGTGGTGTGCACTATTTTTGTTAATCCGTATCGACGGGTATAGCACTTAAAAAATTATCATTTAACTGAGTGTAAAACCCGTTATGTTAATTTCAATTATAATTAACAGTATTAATACTATTGTTATTGTTATTATCGCTGCTTCATTCCAAGAATTCAGTTTGTCTATAATTTGTGAGTTGATGAATTCCTTTTACGAAGTTAACAATTGGAAGAGTATACGTTCAAATTAAATACGTATAACATGTTTACATTTCGTTTTGAACTTAATAAGGTTTGGATTATATTAGCATTTTATTCTCCATTAAGAACGCGATTATAGAGTGTATTTGGATATAAGCGCTCATTTATTAAGCATTTGCACTATGGCTACGTCAAATTGAAGTTACGATCAAAACATATACTTCCTGGAAGCAATTAATGTCTTTATATTTGGTAGCTTATATACAACTCCGCAGCAAAATCGGTCAAATTAATCTTCCTTAAGTTCCGCTTCCTTTTGCTCATCAGCCAATTCTTGCCATTTCTTCATATTGTACCTTAAATGTCGGTGTGAATATCAACGAATATCACGCGATTCCTCTTTCCTACTGATAGATTGTATATCTCTTCAAGAACTCTCTCCTTTCTCTCTCTTTCTCTTGTTTGAGAATGATAATAAAAGAGTATCGAAACACTCACAAACAGCGGTCAAGTAACTGTTGACATTCCGGTAACGTTGTAACAATGAGCTCATAACATGGGACGCAGATAAACTTCATGAAATTCGCTTGCATTTGCGGCATCTCGTTTGCTTTCTCTCGATCCATCATTGCAATCGGTTCTTGTCCATTTCGTCTTTCCGCATCTCCCTATGTATAATAAATGAATTTTTATTTAAAGTAATGAACAATAGCCAATACCAGAAGATCGGAATAACTATCACGGATAAACTTGAAACATATGGGTAATGCTAAATTTGTTCAACTTTATTTGAGTTTCATCGTATGACATGCATTTTTATTTTTTCACTAAAATTTTTACAGACAATTAATCTTAATTTAGACAAAAAGTGATTCATTGTAATATTTCAATGATAAAATATTCAAGTTTGTCATAAAAGAGTGAAGTTTCAAGTATTCTTAGATTGCTTTTCAGTTATTCCGTAGGATAATTCAAATCACATCTCTTAGTAAGAGCAATTTTCTTGAGCTCTCAGAACATCTCGAGAATAGATTAAATTCTCTTGCCGAATTGATCGACATCGAAAAAAGTGATCGAAGTGACGAAACGACTAACTTGTTCATAGAATTCTTCGAATATTATTTTCACAGTTTCCGTATGAACAGGCCATGGTTTCGATGCCGCAATTAGATCACAACCAGTCATTAAAATGCTTTTCATTAAAAACCTAAAATTGACGAAAGCTTGAATGATTTCTCAAGATTTCATCAAAGATCGTTCTTTGTTTCTAATCTATCAATTATCATTTAATTGCAGCATTTTTCATAAGCTTTTTTTTGTGACATTTCCTTTGGTATTTAAAGATTACGGATGTCATCATTCGGCATATTTATCTAATTTTTAATTTGTTTGTGATCTACCTCAGAACTTTAATTTATTTAAAAGAAATTCGCAAAGTGCCAATTTTTCAATGCTTCTTGACATGCTTACCGATGATCTTCGTTGTCCCAACTGAATGTACCATCGGATAGAATTGCTTCCACTGCTGCTCTATTGTTAGCAAAGCTTGCCAGATCAGTGGATAATATGCAGTGCTTAATAATACCCAATATATCCTTGTATTCCTCTGAGGAGAAAGATTTAAGAATATTATGTCCAACCTAAAATATGTTACAATGACCTTATAAGGGTATTTATTATATTAAAATTTGTTGCACACAAATGAAAATCAAAGGAAGGAAAAAGGAGGAGGACCTGTTGTAAAATAATAACGGTCTGATTGAAATGATGGTGTTCCATTACTGATGTTGAATAAATTGATGCCAACGGACTACACATTGATTTCATATAGGCATTATTCTTGCCACGATGGTCGAGATCGTGGCACAAACAAGCTATATAAAGCGCAAGGGACTATAAGTAAATTATTTCACGTAAGCAATAAATTTTATAGTAATTTTTTAAGTAGATTTTTGAATAAATTGTCGTTATGAATATTTTATACCGAGACTTGAAAATTTATTGCACGTTAATTCGGATTCTGATACTTCGACGTTTATGGATTTTGATTAGAATTGTCACAATGATTGGGAGTTGATATAATTTTTCTCATTTCATGATAAGATTAGAGTGCTAACACTCTAATCAACAATAAGATAGCACCATGAATGTTAAGTATATTGTTTTATGCATATAATAACATCCTAACATCAGAAACGATATTGTATAAAATATCGTAATTTTACGATTAGTAGAGTTTACCTGTGATGCAAATGAAGTTAACTTAGAAGTTTACATTCTAGAAAGTTGCAAAATTTAAAATCCAAACTTTTAGGAGATGATCAGTATGAGTTTCTAATAGTATGATGATCTGATATCTCAGATTATTGTTTTTGAATGTTATCCTAATAACCTAATATGTTCTGCACCGACCTCTGATTACATCCAATAGATCTTAGACTTTCTTTTTTTTTTTAAATTCTTGTTCAACAATTAAAATAGAATATCGAAATGAACGAAAAGAAGCACCTGTTTTAAAGTGAAAATTGTAGTGGCTCGAAGTAAGCAATACATGGCTTGCGCTACGGTCCATCCATGTACCCAATTATGATAGGCTACTTGACGATAATTTTTACGTACAGTAAGTATGAAACGAACCAAATCATCCTCATCATAATTACTGAAATATCGATCTAGAAATGCCACAAACCAACATAGCACTTCAACTCATAGCTAGTTAAATTTCTCAAAAGAGAACTGATAAGCAAATAATTAACAAATTCTCCATCCAATAATAATAATAATGATAATTCATGCAAATCAATTAGACGAAACTTTCCATATCATCTTTTCCATTCATTCAAATTGGTATTATCAACAACGAGAAGTTGATTATTTGATGATATCCGACAGTGATATATGGTAATTATATTAAGTTATCAGTATGTATGAGAACTTACAATTTTCCTTTAAATAGCGTTCGAAACATATAAACAGCATAAAGTGGCTTTTCAAGCTCTGTTAATTGAAATCCATTGAATTCGAATCTATGAAAAACATAGCAATTATCATTACCTCAAGCGTCTTTTATTTATTCTATCTTTTTGCATCTTTTCTCTTTTGAAGAATTTCTATCTCTCTTTCTATTTTATCCCTCGATGTTTACAATCAATCACGATGATTAATACACAAACAACAAGTGACAAAAAATACTACCAATATATAGCGCTTCAGAAAATGCGCATATGTATTTAATAGACTTCAACGAAAGTTGAAGAGAAAAAATAGCATAGAAATAAAAGTAATATATTGATAACTGAATGATAGATGAAATTTGTAGATTAGAAGACTACACAAACTTGTCCAATTCCGTGATATTATCTTCGATTGTGACACTTTTCAGCTTGCTCACTTCCTCCTTATTGCATACACTGTGATATGCCAATACTTCTAATGCCACCCGATATTTCTATATATATTTTGTAATTAATTTTATATAAAATATATATATATATATTCATCCATAAGAAAGTGTTATGGAAAATTCATGTTTGATGAAAACTTTTCATAGCCAAGAGTGATCGATTCTGGAAACCTTCAGAATCTTCTAGTATCATAGCTCAATAAGTTCTTTTTAATCTAATTATCAAAACTACAATATGTGTATAGCTAATTTCTTTCATAGTATTTTTAGCCATATATAATATAAATTTAGCCTAATAATAGGTAATATCAGGCTATTCTATGTTATATCAATAAATCTTGGATATTTTTTACAAGAAATTTGTCTGATAAGAACCTCTTCGGAACGTTTTATCTGATTATAAAGCATTGTATGATGCAATGCTAGGCCACAATATACGGCGAATGTTTCGAAAGAATTTTGATCCTGTTTTGTAAAAGGCCCATCTGCTTTGTTAATCATTTGTATCACACCAATCACTCTACAATCATCAAAATAAGTATGTGTCCGAATAGTTCAAAAATTCTCGGGATAAAAACATAGCTTGCATATTTATTGAAATATGATTGAGTAAGAAATAATCAGAGCCTAGTAACGTGTCATTATTGCTAGAGCCTAGTAGTGTGTATGTCATTCTCAATAATGCTGAAGTAATTAATGAATATTTTAAAAAAAATCAAAAAGCAAAGTTCACTCATTGTATTTCAACAAGCGGAAACTTACGAATCCCTAATGAAAATAGGCATACAAAGGATATTCCTGGTTTTGTAACCCGTCTTCTGATCAATCTCTTTGTTGAATCGCGGATCTTGATAAGCATTTTCGATATTGAGAACTTCTCCTGTCATAGCAACATATCCAGCTATACCTTTGTTTGCTGAGAATCTGTGAAGTTGAAAAAAAAAAGTTGTAAAATGAGGATCAATCTGAAGGATCATGTAAAGGCGAATGATAGAAGAGAGAAGATATGGATTTCTGCAATGTTTAAAATTTAGAGCTTTCTAAACAAATTCATTAAATTTCAAATTCATTGGATTATTCTCAACCGGCTTTTTTATTTTTTTTAAGGTATTAATTGTCAGAACGCGCATTTTCTACTTTTTTTCCGCAATTTTTAAGCTATGAAAGCGCCTAATCTAATTATAATATCCTAAGCAATCAGTAATTATTCCTTTCATTCATTTTCAAGCTATAGAAGAAATGTAAATAATTTATTTGTTACCTAATCTCCTCATTACCATCTTCGTTAATTTTAATTTGTTCATCCTGTTGGATACCGACATTGAAAATTCTTGCATACAATTCTTTCCTTTTATGATCTACAAGAAAGAGAGAAGATCGATCTGCACTTGTTAACTTTTGAGCGAAATTCTGAAAATTTTTAATTTAATTATAGAAATTCTGAATACTTCAATTTGGAATGAAATATATCACTCACATTTTCCTTTATAAATTCTCTTCTCTTTTCATTTCCTACCATTACGCTATTTCTTATAATTTAAATCATCAAAAAAAACCATAGTATCTTTTAGAATTAAAATGATTTAATAAAAAGTCACTTACCATAACTTTTCTGATAACAGTATCCATGCTGGCAATATCCTGAAATATGGATCTAATAATAGAAAGAGTTATGAACTGTTTTGATATAACATTTCAATGAACTTACTTCACTACATTAAGTAGGAAAATATTTAATTTTCGTTGTTCATTGTTATACCATAAACGTGTTTCATCATCTTTGTTTGATGTTAGCTAAATTAATTACAATTAATCTATAAAATAAAAAATAAAATGTGAAGTACAATAAATATCATTAAAAAAGTAAAAATCGTTGTAAGCGTCAAAATGGGAACTTTTGAAAGATTTCAATTTCATTTAGCATCAATGAATTTACAAGTTCAAAGTGAAGATGCAAATGATTAGTTATTAAAAGAGCGAATAATAATAGAATACCTGTGCATAGTATATCAGAGCACTACCCCAGTTACAGAGGATATTGATGGAAATACGATCTTTTTCGGTAAGCGAACGATAGAAGTGAATTTCTCCTGTAAATACAATGAAAATTGTTCGCTTTTATTTTTTACTTTTAAAAAGAATGAAAATATTACATATCCATCTTGTTGTTTAGAGATAATAATATTTTCCTCTAAAAAACATAATTAGATATCCCGAACTATGTATATCGAAAATATTTAAAAGTGTAAGGGATGCAATTAACAATAGACTTATTACAATTAATTAACAATAGACTTATTGCACTCTAAAATTTCAAAGTCTTCCAGATCACATTTCTTCAATTTGAAAATTTACTAAACTTTGTTGTATTTTAATGGATGTGATGGTGATCAATAGTAATTAATAATAATAATAATAATAATAATAATAATAATAATAATAATTAAGATGTATGGATTGATTTAAAAGATTTCATTAACGGGAAAACTGATACATTGCTTAAGTATGGTATTTTTAGGAGCTTAATTAAAGTTGGAAAAGACACCAAACTTCCAGTA